TAATCACTCATCAATAATCACTCATCACAGACCTGATGAAGGCGTGTCTGGAATGAATCAAAAAGCAAAAGATAATTTCCCGTAAATGAAACGATTCAGCAGCAATGTGTTGAAAACGTTGAAGAGACGTTTCAGAAAAAACCTTCAATCGTCATGAAATCTGTAGAAGAAGAAAAAAGACTTCCTGTCCAAAGACCGACCGTCACTTTGACTTCCTGTCAGTTTGTCTTGGTGAATTCAGTGAATCTTCTGGAAAGCTTTCACATAGTTTACTGACAGTCTGTAAATATTATTGTTATTATTATTATTGTTGTTATTATTATTATTATTATTATTAGCAGCTGTTGGTTGTTTTCAGAAAAGAGAAACTAAAGTGAAACTCGTTGAGTGACGTCAGGATCTCGTTAACACATCGTTTATTGTTTTTATTCATTTCATTGATGTTTTTTCTCCGTTTTCTTTATAATTTATTGGTTTTTGTTTTATTTTCTTTTTTTTATTGACGATTCTTTCGTTTGATTTTATGGCTGATTTTCTGAAAACATTAAATTTTTCCTTAATTAAAACATTTTATTAATAAACTCGACTGGACGTTAAACTAAATCAACAGCTGATTAGTTTTTCTCATTCGTTTCATCATAATTACATTAATTAAACTGAGTCTGCAGTGAGTTCACTGATTACAGACGAACTGACTGAACGCTTCATGAGGAAATCATTTAGATTTTTCAAAGTAAAACTAAAACGTGAGAAGAAACCGTCGTCCTGACGAATGTTTCCAAAGAATTAATTATTAATCAGTTTAATTTGATTAATTTCAGAAGAAACCTCCTGAAGTACCTCCTACTGAGATTTAAATTAGACATTAGCTATAAAATATACGTTTGTTCTGATGCTGACGTAAAACGAGTTGTGATGGTTTCCAGATTTCTAACCTTTCTCTACTTTTATTATTATTACTGTGACATTAGTGTTCTTCTACACAGCCCAACTTCACTCTAAAAAAACACGACTTATTAAAAACAAACACGTTTTCTCCTCCGTAAACCTTCCGACTCCAACATGGCCGCCCTCCGATGACGTCACGGCGTTAGCACGTTAGCTCCTCCGCCATGTCGTCGCTGTAATGCGTGTTTTCTGATAAAAGTTCGTCCTTCGGTCGCTCACACGGCGTCGGACCTTCAACACCTTCATCATCATCATCATCATCCTCGTCACAGCAGGCAGGAGATGGACACCTTGGTGGTGGAGTACGGGACGGCGTCTGGCGAGGGACAAACCACACGTCAGCTGCTTTACGCTCTGGCCAATCAGCTCCGAGTCAGTTTAAATCATTAGAATAGAAACACTTTGTTTATCCCAGAGCTGGAAAATTATCTCAGTCCAGCAGCAAAAAGGGCGAAAGTTAAATACTATTAAAAAAATAAATTAACTACAAAATGTGCAAAAAAATGACACTAAATGTTGACGAGTTTAATGAAGAGGTGGCGGCTTCAAAACAGTAAAAATAATAGTGAAAATAACAACAAAACAAATGTACAAAATACTGATTTCAACAGTAGAACAAGGATTGTTTGGTGTTTGTAAAAAAAAACAAAAAAAGAAAAAGTGTTTTTTTTCACAGTATGTAAATAATTAATTAAAAATTTAATCTGTTTAAAAAGAAACAGTTGAAAGCATCAGGTTTTTAGTTGTTTTTTTTTTTACAGTATAGAATAGAATAGAATACATTATGTAGTTAAATAAAATAAAACGGATCGTCTTTAACAGACTTCAGAAAAAACTTTCTGATTTTTCTGAATATTCCTTTTTTTTAATTTTTGAAATTTTTTGCTGATTTAAATCCAGTAAAAAAAAAATGTTTTTAAAGAAGAAGGTGATTTTTCAGTCAAACGTTTCTACCAAGGACGCACGTCCACGTCGGTATCGGCTGATATCTGTGTTTTACCGATATAGCGGTATCGGTCCGATGAACGAATGTAGCCGATGGTCGTCTAACGTCAGCGCCTTCGTCTCTACGTCTGATGTCGCTGCTGTTTCAGATGTTTTTATCTGAATGGTCCTTTAACGGTAAAGATGTTTAAACATGTTCTTGGCGACATCAGACATCTAAATATCGGATATCGGTATCGGCCAGACACGTTAATATCATGCATCGCTAATTTCAATCATTGAGTTAGCATTTATAAAAAGTACCTCTGTTAAATGTTATTTGGCTTCTTTTTCGTGGCTAATCTGTAAACATAACGTTTTATTGTGTGACTCTTCTGGACGTTGTCACTGAACACAACACCAAACGTTTCCGTCACCTCGGTCCTGCAGCGAGCTGATGTACGCCTCCATGAACTCCTTCTCTCTGCCGTCCTTCTCCTGCTGCTCCTCCCTCTGCTGCCTCCACCTCCTCCTCTTCTTCTTCTCCTCCTCCTCCTCCTGCTGCTTCTTCTTCTTCTTCTTCTCTTCGCTCGCCGGGTTGTCGTACAGACGAATGAACCTGCAGAGGAGCAGACGAGAGCCTGAACGAGACCAAACAAAAGCTCAAAAATATGGTTTTCCATCAAACACCAAAACTGAAATTAATTTGTTTTAAAACACATTTTTAGTTTCTCGATTGTAAAAGGAAAAATTAAAAAGTCAATTTTCTCATTTTCCAGCTTTTGTTTTTAAAAGGAAAATTAAGAAATGGGTCATTTTTCTTGATTTAAAACAGAAAACGATGAATTTGCCAGTTTTACTTTTAATTTGCTTTAAAATGAAAAAATTGGGGAAAAAAGTCAGTATTTGGATTTTAAAATGTAAAACCAAGAACTGAACCAGTTTTCTTGTTTCGTTTGTTTTGTGTTTGTTTTAAAACCTCAAAAAAATGAACGAGTTTCTTTTGTTGTGGGATTAAAATTTTTTTTTTAAAGAAAAAAAACAAATATGAGCCCATTTTTGGCTTCTTTTTTTTTTTTTTTTTTTTTAAATTTAAAACAGAAAAAAGGTCAAAAAGTGGATTTTTAAAAATGTTTTATTTTTTTACATTTTGTATTTGTTTTTTGTGGTTTTTGGTTTAGAACGAATAAACAAAAAAACTAAACTGGGCTCATTTTCTGCTTTTTTAAAATGAATTAGTGTTTTTTAGATTGAAGTAGAAGAACATCAACTGAGCCAGCGTCTGTTCTCGTCTTTGTTCATTTGTGGTTTAAAAACAGGAAAACTAAATCTGTGTTCACACCAAACACCAGCTGATGTTCACTGTTGACGAGGAAACACGACGTTCTGCTAAATCGTGTTCCTTGGTTTGGTTACTTGATGTCGGGGTTGCTGCACAGTTTGGTCGGGACGCAGGTGAGGTGGTCGCCGCTGACGACGATGACCTTGAGCGTGGAGACGTTGGTGAGGCAGTGAGGAAGGTAGGACAGATTGTTCTTATGGACGAACAGCGTCACCAGCTGGCTCAACCTGCACATGACAGCCAGGAGACCAACACACATGTTCACCGTTCAGCGCAGCAGAAGACGAAGAATAAATGTTCTGGACGCTTTAAATTGTTCAGGACGAGTTCTGAGTCATTCTGGAGGAGTTTCAGTTTGTTCTGACTGGTTCTGGACCGAGTTTGAGGCATTTCAGGGCCGTTTTTGTCTTTTTGGACACATTTAGGGTCATTTGGGTCGAGTTCTGAGGCGTTTGAAACTCATCCTGAACTATTTAGAAC